CTCCTCCCCCCCTTTCATCTGCGCCAGCAACGCCCCCATTCCCGCACTGCTCCAGTCCGTGTATAGCGTAAATAGCAAGTCTGCTCTAGGCAGCTCCAGCAAAACTCTGTTCTTCACTGCTCCCATGAGGTCTTGCACCGCCCTCTCCTACTCTGGCCCCCACTCCCACCTGCGATCCTCCCTCAACAGTTGGTTCAATGCGGTGGCCCGGGTGTTGAAATTCGGCACAAATTTGCGGTAGTTATTCAGGAACCCCAGTAACGCCCGCAGAGTGGTCCTGTCCTTCGGTGTAGCCACTCGATCCAGTACTTCCACCTTGGCCCTCTGGATCCCAATCTTCCCTCCTTCTAACTCAAACCCCAGATACTCCACTGTGGTCTGTCCAAAATTGCATTTACCCGGATGACACGTGAGCCTCGCGCTCTGTATGGTGCTCAATGCTGCTTCCACGTCCTTCACGTGCGACCGACTGTCCGTGCTGTAAACAATGACGTCATCAATGTAGCACGCGGCGTTTTGTACCTCCCGCAACACCTGGTCCATGACCCGCTGAAACTCCGGAGAAGCCGACTTCAAGCCAAATGGCAGGAAGTTCCACTCGTACTGGCCATCCAGCCCACGAAAGGCTGTTTTCTTTTTGTCAGCTTCCGCGATACAGATCTGGTTGAATCCCTGCCGCAGGTCCAGCGTAGAGAAAACCATCGCCTCCGCTAGCTTATCAAAGATCTCATCCGGCATTGGCATCTGGTACCGTGACCTTATTCAGCCCTCGGTAGTCACCACACATGCGTTTGGACAACACCTTCCCCGTCAAGTCTGCCTGCGCCACCACCACTGTTGCCGTTGCGTACTCTGAATTGGATTTCCGGATGAAGCCCGCCTCTAGGAGTTCCTGGCACTTTTCCTTGCAAATTTGCGTCTCTTCTGTTGTCGTGCGTCGCCTTCTCTGGTACACCGGGATCTCCGTGGTCAGCTCAATGGTGACCTCCGCCATGTTACATTTGCCCATGTCCTTGAGTGAGTACGCAAAGGCCGGTCGGTACTTGGCTAGCACCTTCTTCAATTCCGGGCATCTGCTTTGGATATCCCTTCTCCTATCTCCCATTCCTTCTCTGCCCCAAGTCATGGCGGGTCCTCTACCTCTTCCGCTTGCCCTAGACTCGCCAATGATTTCGGCCCCTGCGGTGCCGCGCTCCCGTTCCCGTCTTCCTCCCTAAGCTGCTCTGGCGCCCGTCTCGGATCTTCTTCCTTCGTGGCTGCCATTAGGGCGAATTCTCGCGAGCCGAAGTCCCGCTCGTAGCTCTCCCTGCTCCTATGCCTCTCGATGGCCTCCTCCAGCCAGCTGAATTCCTCCCTCTTCTTGTCCACCGCCGCCTCCTCCCTGTCTCCCGGGAGACGGATCTCTGTCTATTCTACGTATTTCGCCGGCCTCTCCTCCTCTTCTTTCCAGGGGTATTCCCATCTCCTTTCCAAGGGAAGCCCGCACTCCTGTTGCACCTCCTCGTTGTCCTGTATTTCCCCTAGCATTGCTTGCGCCAGGCCTCCTTTGCCGCTGACCTCTCGGTCGGGGGTTGGACCGCCGCGGCCTTGTCCCGCTTATGCTGTTGATCAGGATCCGTCAATTTGAGAGCTTACGACGAACGCATTACTCAACTAAACGCAAATCCGCTCAGTAGGATTGTGCGCCTTAGGCTTAGCTACCATCTCCAAGTTGAATCAGTCGTTAAGATGGTCTATAGAGTGAGAACCAAGTAAAAACGTCCAGCAGCCGCATGACTAGAATGGTGGAGGAAGTACAAGCATTAAGGCATGGAATAGTTGGAACCTTCCTAGCAGCAAGGATGCAACCCTCATCATGAGGTCCTTGAGGTGTCACATGCAAAATCCAATCTAGTTGGATTTTGCCTAGGTGTTGCAACATTTGCAACCCATGCTAGAAATTTCTAGCCACCCCAATCCAAAAGTCAAAGTTGCAACCACCCAACTAAAGATCCCTTTATAGTAATGTCCCAATAATCGCCCACTGTAGATAACATCTCAAAATGAGATAGAATTCCCAAAGCTTGGAAATCTTGTAAGTTGGGCGATCTTGGTCGGAATAAGGCGATCTTGGTCGGAATAAGGCGATCTTGGTATCGTTGGAAAGCTTTGGATTTCTCCTGCATGATCAAGCATTTAAACTTGGAGAAAAACACAGAGATGATAATATCCAACAGCCATGCACAGTGGCATATGCTCATGCGAACAATGCACGCATGAATAGCATGAGCACTCGACAGGACGTTAGGATGATATGCACTCAGAATGACGTGCATCCAACAAACTCCCCCTCAGACTAACGGACTGCATGCACACACACGTGCTTTTCTCGGACTGGCGCGCGTCCCTGAGGGGCCTGCACAGTTTCAGCCACGGGCCCACGCTCCACTGTCGCTTGCCTCTCCTGGCCTGACGCGCGCCCCTGAGGGCTGTAACAGTAGCTACCGCGGCCACAGGGCGGTTGTCCTGGATGGAAAATCCAGGCGGTCCATCATTGCGATTGGCGCGATTTGCAGCAGGGGCTTCGACATTTCGTCCCTGACGAATTTTTGCTCCTGCGTCATTCGCGCTGGCAGGATCGCGGGATCTAGCACGAGATCCCTCCTGAGGGCGTTCCTTGGGGAGATTGTTACGTGCGCCCGCCGGGGAAGTTGGAGCACGGTCATCGTCGTTTCGACGATTGGCTCCGCGAACTGCTGCGCCAATTAAATCGAGCGCTGTTACTGCTGCGCGAGACTCATTTCGTGGCGAACGGGACCGGTCCCTCCCAGAAGTTGAAATTCGATCATCTTCTCGCCGAGGAGACCCACGCCGAGAAGAACTCCTAATATTAATTCGAGCAGCGGGTAGACGTCCGTTAATAGCGGAAACGAATCCGCTCGCCATCTCGTTGAGTCTAGCAGTAAGAACGTCGTTGACCAGGGTTGAGGGTTGAACAGATCTAGATCTCCGCATAGGAGGAGTATGTGTGCCAACTCAAAATGAGATGGATTAAATGAGACTAGGTGGCAGGTCTGTGGACCTGCCGAAGGATAAGAGGAGAATGCCTCCTTATTGCATTCTCCCTTTTCGAATCTTGTCACAATCATTAAATTTAGAAATATATTTCTACATTATTCATATTTCGTTGCTCCAAGGAAGTTAATATGGTCACGCTTAGCACAAGTCGTCACCCAAGCTTGAACCTGAAAAGCAGGACAGATTCGACACAATATGGGAAGGGAAAGCACAAGGCAGCGGGACCACCACATGTCTTCCGTCTATCGGTCTTCTCTGCCATTAATCGACAACACACAAGAAAGGAAACTCCCAGGCAGCAACGGAAATACTTTTTACCACTATCAAGAGAGCTCCAATGTGGATCAGCGTTGGTTTCTGTCAAGAAAGGGTACACATCCTGTTTGCAGCAGACGCAATATGACGGACATCCAAAGTAGAATCCAAGAAGATTGATAGGTGCAAGAAAGGGTGTGAAGTTCAAGGAAATATTTCAACAAAATATTCTCCGACTATCAGCTTTTTCCTGTCAAACATTATATGTTTATATTGTGTAGGCTATAGTGGGTTTAGCCTTTGGGGGGTACAACTTTGCTAGGGTTTCCTACTTGTATCCCCATCATTCCTAGTTTCATCATTCTCGTTCTATTCTAGATTCTAACATGGTATCACGAGCCTAGGTTGCTACCTAGGACCGCTTTCTACTACAGGCCCACTATTCCACTAGAAGCGCCCTCGTGCGCCCTACCTTACGTGCGCACTCGTGCGCCTTTCTCTGCTCGTGCACCCTCGTGCCCCCTCGTGCGCCTTTCTCTGCTCGTGCGCCCTCGCGCGCCCCGCCCTTCGGTCTGCCCGAGTGCCGTCCTGTAGCCCTCGCGCGGCCTTCTGCAAGCTAGTACGGCCCTTGAGCCGCCCCTGCAGGTCTGTCAGGCCCCCGAGCCGCCTCTGCAGACCCGTCAGGCCTCCCCCCCGAGCCGCCTCTACAGGCCCGTCAGGCCCGAGAGCCGCCCCTGCAGACCCGTCAGGCCCGCGCGCAGCCTCTGCCCGACCGCGCGCCGCCCCTACAGGCTCTCGCCGCCCGCCACGTCGCCCTGCCCGTGGCGTCGCTGCCTGCCCGCGGCGTCACCACCTGTACGCGGCGTCGCCACCTGCCCGCGACGTCGCCACCTGCCCACCGTGTCGCCCTGCCCGCAGCATCGTCACCTGACCGCGGCGTCGCCACCTGTCCGCGGCGGCGCCACCTGCCGTGGCGTCGCCACCTGCCCGCCGCGTCGCCCTGCCCACGGCGTCGCCCCTGCCCGCCGCGTCGCCCTACCAACCGCGTCGCCCTGCCTCCCGCGTCGCCCCTGCCCGCGCGTCGCCCCTGCCCGCTGAGTCGCCTTGACCTAACCCGCGCCTGGCCTCTGGAGCAGCCGCCCCTGGCTCCTGGAGCAGCCGCCCCTGCAGCAGCCGCCCCTGGCCACTGGAGCAGCCGGCCACTGGAGCAGCCGCCACTGCAGGAGCCGCCCCTTGCCCCTGGAGCAGCCGCCCCTACAGCAGCCGCCCCTGACCACTGGAGCAGCTGCCCCTGGAGCAGCTACCACTGCAGGAGCCGCTCCTGGCCCCTGGAACAGCCGCCCCTGGAGCCGCCGCCCCTGGAGCGGCCGCTGTGCCGGCCCCGCAATCGCCCCGCTCGTACGCCTGCCCTTCCCACCACTGGTGAGCACTCCCCTACCCGTACTACTACTGTTGTTACTGCTGCTGCTACTGCTTCTACTGTTGCTCCTGGCATGGCCAGATGCAGCTCCAGGGCCGTCCGCGTGTGTCCCTCATGCCCCAGCAGCTTCATGAGTGGTACGCCAGTTGGGGTTGTCGGGGTGGCAGTAGTGGGAGTCGTCCTCGAGTGGGTAGTTCGGGAGTTTCTTGTAGTGGCCCGGTGCAGCAGCCGAGTCGTCTACGCAAGGCTCTTTCGCCCCAGCAGCTTCATGAGTGGTACGCTCAGAGTAGAGGGTCACTGAGTACTGCTCGCTGCCCGTACGTCATTTGCACAGGTGTCCGGACTGGTCAGCCTTGCAGGACACGTGGTCACACAGAGTCCCACTGCTTCGCCCGTCTGGGCGACGTTTGGCGTACAGAGCTTGGCGACGACGATGAGCTCCCCGACTGGGTGGAGCTGCTTAGGCAGAGGGTAGATATCTTTGCTCTTGACTATGATGCTATCCTCACTGCCATGTATGCATAGTCTACTAGTGCTGAGAGTGCTTGTCACCTGTGTGTGCCGCCTGACCCCGGTATCCAGTCTACTGCTCTAGGTACTGGTGAGGCTGCTGCTCTAGGTGCTAGAGTGTCTGTTGCCCCAGGTGCTGGTGAGGGTGGTGCTCTAGGTACTCGTGAGTCTGCCCCCCCTGGTACTAAGTCTACTGAGGCACCGCACACCTTCACACTGGACTCAGGTGCTTCTCGCCGTTTCTTTCGTGACCGCACTGCCCTTGAGCAGCTTGCTCGACCAGTTGCTATCTCCCTTGCTGACCCCTCTGGGGGTCCGGTCATTGCGACCTCCTCCACTGTCCTTCCTTGTCCTGCGGTTCCATCGGGCACACCGTCAGGTCTCCACCTCCCCTCGTTCTCTACGAACTTGGTGGCGGGTTGTGCGCTCCAGGACGGGGGTGTCCACCAGTTCACCCCTGCCTACGAGCGCGTGACACACTGCACGTGTGCTCGGACGAGCCGTCACCTGGCTACCTTCACTCGGCAGCCGGGGTCGGACCTGTACACACTGACCACTGAGTCCCCTCAAGTAGCTGCGTCTGCGTCTGCTTCAGGTCAGCTGTCTGCCCCCTGCTCGTGTCGCTCTCTAGCACACGAGACCGTCCTCTGGCACCACCACCTTGGTCACCCGACAGTGCAGTGCCTTCGTGCCATGCACTCCCGGTACCTTGTCTTCCCCGGGTACTCCCTCCCCTCCCACCCTCACCTGCTCCTCCCTGTCTTCCTTGTGTCGAGGGGCGGCAGCGCGCCGCTCCTCACTCCTCTTTTCCCCCGACGACTGCTCCCTTGTAGACGCTCCACATGGACGTGTGAGGCCCAGCCCGCGTCCGTGGACAGGGTCAGGAGAGGTACTTCCTGATCGTTGTTGACGACTACTCGCGCTACACCACGGTCTTCCCCTTGCGCACCAAGGGTGAGGTCCCTGATGTTTTGATCCCTTGGATCCGCACTTCTCGTCTCCAGCTCAGCGAGCGGTTCCACTCTGACTTTCCTATCTTGCGTCTGCACTCTGACAGAGGTGGTGAGTTCTCCTCCGACCTCTTGGCAGCCTACTGTGCGGAGCACGGCATCCACCAGTCGTTCACGCTTCCGGCCTCTCCACAACAGAATGGGATTGCTGACCGCCACATTGGCTTGGTCATGGAGGTCGCTCGTACCTCCTTGATCCATGCGGCTGCCCCCCACTTTCTGTGACTGTTTGCGGTCCGGTACGCTGCGCATCAGCTCAACCTCTGGCCCCGTGTCTCCTTGCCGGAGACCTCGCCCATACTGCTGTGGACGGGGGAGGTTAGCGATGCGTCGCGTTTCCGGGTCTGGGGATCTCGAGCTTTTGTCCGCGATACGTCCGCGGACAAGCTCTCCTCCCGCGCTGTTCCTTGTGTCTTCCTTGGCTTTGTCCCGGACGCGTCTGGTTGGCAGTTTTACCACGCCACCTCGCGTCGTGTCCTGCCCTCTCAGGACGTCACTTTTGACGAGTCGGTGCCCCACTACCGCCTCTTCCCCTACCGCACTGCCCCGCTCCCCCCCCCGCCTCTCTTCCTCGCGCCAGGTGCTCCTGTGGTAGACCCCTCCCCCCTCAGGGTGCCGCTCCCTCAGGTGTGTCCCAGGTAGACTCGGTTGAGCCTGTCGAGGTAGTTGTCGACTCTCGTCCTTCTAGGGGTGCTGAGCCTGAGCGTGCGGAGCCTGGGGGTGCGGATCCTGGGGGTGCGGAGCCTGGGGTTGCGGAGTCTGGGGGTGCTGAGTCTGGGGGTGCGGAGCCTGCGAGTGCTGAGTCTGGGGGTGCTGAGTCTGGAGGTGCTGAGCCTGGGAGTGCTACACCTGGAGGAGCTCTCTCCTCACAGCAGCTGCGTGAGTGGTACTTACAGTACTACAGCCTCAGGAGAGGTGCTTCTGGAGCTAGGAGTGCTGCTGGAGCTGGTGCTAGTGCTTCCCCTCCTAAGCGGGAGCTGCCCTCTCCCCAGCGACTCCGAGAGTGGTACGCTCGGCGCTGCAGTCTCCGGAGTGGCGCTCCTAGTGTCACGGACCCTGGTGCTGGAGGTGCTGCTGCTGCTGGCGGTGCTGCTGGCGCTGCTGGAGGTACTGCTGGTACTAGAGCTGCTGGAGCTGCTGGAGGTGCTGCTGCTACTGGTGGTGCTGCTGGTGCTGCTGGAGCTGCTGGAGGTGCTGCTGGTACTGGGGCTACTGGAGCTGCTGGAGGTGCTGCTACTACTAAAGGTGCTGCTGGTGCTGCGGACCCTGGAGTTGGAGCTGCTGCTGGTGCTGCGGACCCGGGCGTTGGAGCTGCTGCTGGTGCTGCGGACCCTGCTGGTGCTGCGGACCCTGGAGTTGGAGCAGCTGCTGGTGCTGAGGACCCTGGAGTTGGAGCTGCTGCTGGTGCTGAGGACCCTGGAGTTGGAGCTGCTGCTGGTGCTGCGGACCTTGGAGTTGGAGCTGCTGCTGGTGCTGGAGGTGCTGGCGCTGCTGGAGCTACTGGTGGTCCTGCGGGCGCTGCAGCTGGAGACCCTGGAGCTGAGCCTACTGGTGGTCTCTCTGCTGGTTTTGGCGGCGCTACGCGGCCGCAGCCGTACTTCGTTCCACTCCTTCAGCAGGTTCTTGGTCAGTCGCCTCCTCCCTGTCCTGCTCCCTCCTTAGAGTGTCTTTCGCTAGTCCAGTGGCAGTCACAGTTACCTCCTGCCTTACCACTCCCTGGTCCTTCTCCTTATACTGGTCCGACAGGAGGCCTTACAGAGCGTCGTGAGCCTGAGTCTCGTCCTGCGTCGCCCGAGTCTCTTCGTGCGTTGCCTGTTCGTGCTGCTCACACTGGTCGTCGTGTCCCTCGTCAGCGTCCTCCTGCTGTCCCAGGCACTCACCAGATGGCGCTTCGTCCTACCTCTGCTCCTCAGCGCTTCCCCCTGCCGTCTCCTCCTGCGTCCTCTCTTCTTGCTCTTGCTGCCCCGGAGTCTGACTCCCTTCGTGCTGCCAGTCCTACTGTCACACGTCTCCTCGCCACCGTTGTCACTGACCCTTCCTTTGAGTCCTCTGCTGCGTCTGCTCTAGTCACTGAGTTAGTTGACTTTGCTGCCGCTTGTCGTCTCGACTACGCCGCTAGCCTTGTCGCTGAGTCGGAGTCTGATTCTGTCTGTCCTCCGTCCGTCGGGGGTGAGTGTGCTCTTGGCACGGACGTCCTTGAGGACAGGCAGGAGGAGTTAGAGTGCTTTGCCGCTGCTTTACTTCATCTCGTGTCCATGCTGGTTGCCCCTGAGGGAGACCCGGATGCTCCAGTCATCCCGACCCCGCGCTCTTACGCTGAGGCGATCGCGGGTGAGTACTCCTCTCAGTGGCAGACAGCCATGGACGCAGAGATGGCTTCCTGGAAGTCCACAGGCACCTACGTCGACGAGGTTCCCCAACCTGGGGCGAACATCGTCATTGGCATGTGGATTTTCAGGGTGAAGCGGCCGCCGGGTTCTCCGCCTGTCTTCAAGGCGCGTTACGTTGCACGAGGCTTCAGTCAGCGAGAGGGATTTGACTTCTTCCTGACCTTCTCCCCGACCCCAAAGATGACCACTCTTTGGGTTCTCCTGCACGTCGCCGCTCAGCGTGACTACGAGATCCACTCTCTTGACTTCAGCACTGCTTTCCTACAAGGCAGCCTGCACGAGGAGATCTGGCTGCGCCGCCCACCTGGCTTCACTGGGTCGTTCCCTCCAGGTATCCAGTGGAGCCTCCGGCGGCCAGTCTACGGTCTCCACCAGGCGTCGCGTGAGTGGCACGACACACTGAGGACTACACTTGCGGCTCTTGGGTTCGCTCCTTCTACTGCTGACCCGTCGCTGTTTCTACGCACCGACACTTCGCTGCCGCCGTTCTACATCCTCGTGTACGTCGACGACTTGGTCTTTGCCACTGCTGACACTGCGGCACTCGCCCACGTGAAGTCGGAGTTGCAGAAGAGACACACGTGCACAGACCTGGGTGAACTGACAAGCTATCTTGGCTTGCGGATCACCCGGGACAGAGCACGGCGCACCATCACCTTGACTCAGTCACACATGGTGCAGCAGGTCCTTCAGCGCTTCCGCTTCACGTACTCCTCGCCTCAGGCCACTCCTCTGCCTACCGGTCACTCGCTCTCAGCTCTGCCTTCGGATGAGTCCATAGAGCCGAGTGGCCCGTATCCAGAGCTTGTGGGCTGCCTCATGTACTTGATGACCTACACTCGACCTGACCTTGCATACCCTCTTAGCATCCTTGCATGCTATGCTGCTCCTGGCCGTCACCGGAAGGAGCACATGGATGCCGCTAAGAGGGTGTTGCGCTACTTGTGCAGTATGTCGGGCATGGGGCTAGTGCTTGGAGGACGAGACCGAGTTGTACTCACTGGGCACTCAGACGCTTCTTGGACTGACAACCATGCTACGCAGTGGTCGTCTCAGGGTTACACCTTTAGCTTTGGCTCTGGTTCAGTTTCTTGGTGTTCTACACGCTCGTCTTCTGTTCTCAGCTCCAGTTGTGAGGCTGAGATCTACGCCACAGCCATGGCTGCACAGGAGTTACGCTGGCTCACCTACCTGCTGTCCGACTTGGGAGAGCGGCCTCGTTCTCCTCCAGTGTTGTACGTCGACAACAAGGCTGCCATTGCCTTGTGTGAGGAGCACAGACTGGAGCACAGAACGAAGCATATCGCTCTGCGCTACTTCCTTGCTCGAGAGCTGCAGCAGCGCGGTCAGCTTCGTCTGCGTTATGTGGCCACTCAGGCCAACACTGCTGATGTGTTCACCAAGGCGCTTCAGCCTTGTGACCATCAGCGCCTCTGTACTGTTCTATGCCTTGTGCCTACTGGTCCTCACTTGCTTACTTCTTGACTCTGCTTGTACTGTGATCTCTATATACCGTCATACCCCGGATATAAGCGCCACCCGCGGATAAGCGCCTGGCGCTTTTAATTGGCGTGTGGCGCTTATATCCGGTGCTCGATTATAAGCGCATACCTAAAAGGCTTACAGATTATAACCGCATACCTATACCGAACACATTATAACCGCCACCCTGGTTTTTTGTTGGTTTTTAAATTTGAAGACATTTTATACATTTTATACACTAGCATATCATGTTAGGTAATCTACAACTAGTTTATCTACTTCTAGTTAATCTAATTCTACCTACAAGCATCACACAGGCTTCACCATTTTCTAGAATTCTACCCTACTCTTATCATCAGCTACAGTGGGGTCATCTGGGTCGGCCTCAGAGTCCGACTCAGGTTCCTCTAGTTGTTGCAGTAGAAACCGTCTGCTGCAACTTCATTATCCACGTCAACCTCCTCGCCCTCGAGCTCGTCTCGCTTGTGTTGCAGGCAGAGCTTGTCCTGGGACCCATCCAGGGCGTTGCTGATGCCGCAGGTGAGGAACGCTCGTTGAATGAGCTCCTTGGGCACGGACTTCCAGGCCGCCGAGATCCACTTGAGCGTCAGCTCAACAGGAGGCTTCTTGATGTTGCCTGCCACGCAAAACAAGCAACCGGGTCAGCACGGGTTAAAGAAATAAAAGTGGGATCAGTGCTGCACCTCTCACCTTTCTTCGTCAAGGTGTCGACGCCCTCACGCTCAAACCACTCCTGGTAGAGCTGGCGAACGGCCGCCTTGAAGGAGCGGTTAACCGCGACATCGAGGGGTTGAATCTCCGAGGTGCAGCCAGCAGGGATAACCGCAGGGACCAGGTTGAGCTCGCCAAATTTCTTCTTCACCTCCGGGGTCAGGTGCCCGCGGTACGAATCGAGGACGAGCAGAGCCTTGCGAGGACGGACTCCGAACTTGGGGTTGATGTACGGCTTCACCGCCCCGTCCAGCCACTCGATGACCCCGTCCGCGTCCATCCAACC